TGACTGTCTACGAAAACAGCAAAGATAAAATTATCCCTATCACCTCTTGAAGAGAAATTACACTATTTGCATGTATATTTTCAGCTGGAAAACTATTGCAGTGCCCAGCCTTGTGCCAAAAGAGAGCTGTTAGAGTGCCTAGAGACCACAGATTTGGAAGGTGTGCATGCAGTGACTTGGAAGCTGCTACAAGGGTTCTGGAAGTGAAAACCTTTTGGATTTCTACATCTTTGATGTGACTTACTTGAGCACACAAGTTTACCTATGTAAGTGTCAGGGCTTTAAAACATGTCTTTAAACATATACAAACAAACAACAACAAAAGCAGAAAAAATAAAAGCAGTAATAGAAGCTTAAGTACTGGAAAGAGGTGGAAAAAGAAAATGCCCTTGCATAGGTTGCCCGGAGGCTAAGTCAAAACAAGAATTCACAAAAGTATCAACAATGAAGCAGACTGAATGTAAGTAATTGTGATAAAATCCCTTATCAGAACCTGAGAATGCTTCTATCACTTCTTTTACCCTGACACACTTGAAGGAGGAACCATAAATAGAAAGTAGTAAAAAGCATGTGCTCACTGACAAAGCAAGCAGGAGGATGGCCTAACATGCTGTCAAAGGTCATCCAGGTCAAATAAATATATCTTAAACTTCTGTCATAATACTAACACCTCTGCACCAATGGCAAGGGTATCCATGGCCAGGAATAGGTTTTGTGTAACCTTCCATGATTTTCTTGAATATGTCTTATTGAGACATTTGTCTTCCAAATAAGTGAAGAGAAAGAAGTTGTTTTACACGAAAATGCTCAGAGATGCTGGACAACACAAAGCTGCTTTCCCATTAACAGGAAGAGATGGGTAGAACTGCTCTTCCAGTTACCTTAGTCCTCAGGTAGGGAATTGCTGGGAAAGATTGCTGAAGGGAGACTTCTGCCCAGGAGAATCCAATCACCAACACTGGGCTCCACTCTTCTCTCGAGTTTCCAGCCATTCGGAGAAGGTTTCAGTTGCTTCACAACTTACACGGTAATTGCTACGCTTGACACATTTGGCATTTGAAGTTTCCTTAAGTTTTTCCAACTGGAACGCAGCAGCCTTCTGTCAGCTACACAGCACAGCACGCTGGCTTCTGGTAGCAGGAACCCTTTCTTTCCCCACAGACACAGCTCATCCCTCCGCTGGCAATGCTGCCGTTCAGCACGACTCCCACCGAGCACCATGCACGCAGTACCTTCCAGGGAAAAAGGCAGCAGGACACCGGTGAGGCTGCAAGAAGTCAAACCCTTTGGGCTGCTGGTAAGATGACAACGGATGGACAGACTGGCTGCACATCCTATGCAGAGCCCACGTTTTTACCTGCTACGCTACCTTTAGGTTATTAGGATTTTCTGCAGAAAGGTCAGGAGACTGTTGTGTCTGGCATATGGCAGCTTCGTGTGCAAAATACACAGATCTGAGTTCTTTACACCTTTTTAAATCATTCATCACCCTGTTATTAGCAGAAGAACACTTTTGAATTTAGAGGACTTCCAGCTGGTCAGGTGAAATGTAAACTCTGTCCATAAGCACGTTACAGCAAAACCAGCTATCTAACTCTCCCTCCTGGCTCAACCAAGACTTTGACTCTACGTATACCTCTTAAAAAAGGTAACCACAACAACTGCTGTTATTCTGCTGGTTGGGGTTCAGAAAAAGCTTACGAGCGCAGCTTTGCCAGCAGAATCCTCCAGTGTAAACAGTTACAAAAGTAAAGCTGCACTTTCACCAGTGCAGCTTGTTTTGCTTGGAGCAGGACAGGAGAACTGCTTTAACAACACGAAACACGGCTCTCATCATCCTTGTGGGTCTTCACAGAGCACTGTCAGCGTAGCACGAAAGGAACTCTGTGTGTTTCTTGGACAGATGCGAGCACAGCTCCAAGTGGGGAAACAGTACAAGTAAACTTAACACCTGCATCAAGTGAGTATCTACAGACCGAAAAAATGCTTTCTAACAGATAACTGCACAGTGGGCTGGAAAGCCTAATACTTAAAAAAATAAACTTAAGGAGTGATGATAATTAGATACAACTTAGTTACCTTTCACAACCTGTTGCAAGGCAACAAAGCGCAAATCCCACAGCGCTTAACACTACTCAGAGTGAAATTAAATTACTAAGATTCAACACGCTATCAAGAAACTACTTCAAAAACACTGGAAAGTAACAAAGCTGCAAGCATTTCAGCAGCTATTTTCAAAAGGCATCTGCACCCAGATAAGCACTAGTGCTGCAAAGAGAAAAACCACCCTCTAATTCCACCACAATGGCCTCTAAGCACAAAGCCTCACCACTGCTCCCAACCTGTCACCATTAGTTTCCACAGCCTCCCCTTCGGTTTCTGGCCTCCAGCCACTTAAATACAAAATACTTTTAAGACAGTACTTTTAAGACCTAGCTCCATTCCCTTCCTATTGAACAGAAGAGGAATTAATCATTAACGAGTAACGATCTGCTAACAGTTTTCATGACCACTTCAACATAAACGAGACAACCCGAACATTTATTTTCCTTATTCCACCACTTCATAATTTACATTTTCCAACACCATTAGAACTGGAATTACATCCTGTTTCTTTGGTGGTGAAAACTGTCTTCATAATCTCTTTTGGGCCAAGAAGCTCCGGGGCATTACCTATCTTCTGCAAGTGCGTTTTGTAGCCAGTTACCTGGTTTCATTTCAGAGTATCAGAAACTCCTCTTTATTGCCATTCCCTGTTGCAGAGCCATGCTGATCATGCAACAACAATGCTGTTCTAGAGGGAGACTTCTCTTGAAAGCTAAGACGACACCACAGCCAAGAGATCTCTACAAGAACATCTTCCAAAAAGTAATTCTAAAGCGGAGCTCTTGAAGCTCTGCACAGTGTGAGTGATTAAATTCAGTGTGTACTGCCACCAAATCACTACACAGCACACTGAAGCTAAGCCCAGCATCTAAAGGAGGACGGCAACAAGAAACTGGAGTGTTGTAAGAGAGAGCCAGTTCAGTCTACAAGCCATCATCTACACAGCAGCAGCCTCTTTGGTCTGAGTTCAGCTTCATAGTCACAGAGTCAAGAGAACTTAAGCTGAGCATATTGAATCAGTGCTTTAAGGCATTTCCTCATGAATAAACAGAAGGACAGCACAAGTAAATACTCTGTAAAACATTCATTAGTAAGTAGTTACTCACATTTGACACTGGACACAGTTTTTGAAGCTGTCCACCATCAGGAATGATCTAGTGTTCCCTAGTTAAATAATGCTTTGGAATGCAAGTGGTAATGATTAAAACACATTTAAGAAATGTGAAATGCTGGAAAGAAGTTCTTTTGTATAAATACATGCCAGCCAGAATGCCACACTTTACAAGTCTCCCCAGTAACACCTCGTACAACAGGTACCTGCATCTATTAAAATCTGACCCTAGAAACGTGATGGGATGCTAATCGATACTTTTAGAAGTAAGCAGTACAAAGATGAGAGGTTTGCAAGAAATGCCAGCACATGGTGACACTCAACATAATGAGCAGGCCCTCAAAAGGATGTGAATGGGTGAGAGCTTGCTTCTCAACGCCTAAATACCTCAACCGTAATAAATAAGCCACCCTTAGCAGCGTAGCAGGTTACACTTGCAAATTGACACAGAAGAGGCTAACACTTGCTGAGCAAGGAGTGTGTGTTCCTGGAAAGCAAAAAATATTTTGAGCAATATTTGAAACAAAGCAAAAAAAAACAACAAACAAACAAGAAATCCAACCACCAGCAAACCCCAAACCACACCACCCAAAAGCCACAAGAACACAAGTTCAGAAAACCAGTTCAAAGAGGCAGGACACCAGCCTCAAGGGGAGGGGAAGACTGTGGGTAGGGGGTACGGCAGAGGGCCCTCAAATAAGATGTTTTACGATAAACACTTACTGCAATGTACAAAGCCAGTACTGAACTGGCACCACCTCACCTGGGGAAATAAAGGCACAGCATTTTTTAAGAGTTCACACAGGAGCATGGGGGCAGAGTGAGGGAAGAACATACAGAGCCAACCAAAGGCAGGCCAGGAGGGGTGCAGGCTCTAAAACCAGAGGATTAAAGAACTCGCTTGTGCCCCTTCCTTTCCAAAGCAGGAACATTCAAGACCCACACCAAAACATTTTATCTCAGAGTAGAGACTATGCAAGTAAAGAGTCTGACCAAGTGCAGGACCAGCCCCTAAAAACACAATTCTGAAAGACCTGCACTGCTCCAAAAAGGCATTCCTCACCTTCTGATACCGCCCTGTGTGAAAGTGTCTGCCCTGAACGCGTTTACGTTATCAAAAAGAAAGTGTTAATGACTGCAGGTATGGCAAACAGGACTCCTTCCTCTCCTGCTGCTCTGGAAGGAGATCTTTTTATTGTCATTTTAGCCATCTATAACTTTAACCAGAAGAACAGATAATAGAAATGCTTTCTACGGAGAGGTAGATAATCAGCATTAATGAAAAATTGGAGAGTAAAACACAGCTTTGTTTAAAGTTTCCTGTGGCCTTTCTTATTAACTGAAAAAAAAAAAAAAAGGGAAAAGCTAAAGACTTAGTTATCATTCTTCTGAATTCCTCTAGGAGTATTATAAATCAATGCCAGATTTTTATACTAGTAGCAAACCACAGAGGACAGTGGTGTTGGCTGATAAAAATATCTTCCTCTGCCTTCAAGAAAAAAAAAAAAGAATGCTCTTTCAACCACCACATTTTTTCCAGCGCAGGAAATTCTTTCGGGCTCCAAACCGAGCGCTGTTTACACCTGAACATCTAACTCAGCGCCCGCCAACCCGCTTTCCCCCGCTCTGACGGCGCTGTCAGAGGGCACCCGGCTCCCTCCGGACCTGCAGCGGCCCCGGCAGCGGCTCACGGAGGAGCCGCGGGGCAGGGACGAGGGGAGGGGACCGGGAGCGGGACCGGGACCGGGGCCGGCCGCGTGTGCTCGGCGGGCCCCGCGCTCACCTCGGCGGCCGGGATGTTCACCACACCTGTCGACCTGCGCTTCTCCCGCAGCTTCCTCTTCTCGATCTGCCCCTTCCCCTTCCTGGCGCTGGGCCCCGAGCCCGAGCCCTTGCCCTTGCCCGCCGGCTTCTCCTCGCCCTCGGGGGAGCCCGGCACGGGGCTGGAGGCGGCGGCGGGCTCAGCGCCCCGGCCCCCGGCGAGGCCCTGAGGCGGCGGCGGCGGCGGCTCCTTGGCGGGGGGGGCCCGGCCGAGGCTCAGGCAGTTGAGGGCCCCGCCGGCGGGGGGCGCCGGGCGGTCCGGCGGGGCGGCGGGGGGCAGGCAGCTGCCGCCGCCTCCGCCGGGCTCTGCCGGGGCGGCGGCGACCCCCGTGGGTCTGGGCTCGCTCACGGCGGCCGCCCCCGGTGGCGGCGGCGCCTGCTTGGCCCGCATCTTCTCGCGCTTGGCTTTCCACTCCTCCAGAAAGTCCGTGGTGCTGCCCCCGGCGCCCCGGTAGCCGCCGGTCGCCATGTTCCCGGCGGGGTCGGCTGGGCTCGGCTCAGCGGTGGTGGCGGTGGCGGCAGCGCCCCGGCAGCAGCACCTCCGCCGCCGCCCGCCGACGAGAGGGGCCCGGCGGGGCGGGCGAGACGGGGGCGGGGAGGGAGGCTCGGCGGACGGCGAACACCCTGCGGGGAACAAAAGGGGGGCCGTCAGGCGTCCCGCTGCCAGCCCAGCCCGTCCTCGCCCTGCCCCCCGCCCCCCCGGACCCTCCTCGCCCTCCGCCGGCCCCGACGCCCTCCCTGCCGGCAGCGGAGCCGCCCGGCGCTCACCTCCCTCCCTCCCTCCCTGCCGCCCGGCGGGGCCGCGGCTCCGTGCCTCGCTCGGTGCCTCGCTCGCTGCCGGCCCCAGGTGAGCGGCACCGCCTCCCGCCGGCCCGGAAGGCGCGGCCCCGGGGCGGCCCCGGCTCCCCCTTCCCTTCCCCTCCCCTCGGCCACAGCCCGGGCAGCGCAGGGCAGGGCCGGGCGGGGAGCTGCCGCTACGGCACCCGCGGGGCGCCGGCACCTGCCCGGGGCTCCCCCGGGGCTGCGGCCGTCGGGCCGGGGCTGTGCCTGGGAGGCGCCGCTGCCGCCGTGCGAGCGCTTCGCCCAGCCTCGTGGACCGGGCAGGTCCGCGGCAAGGTGCAGAGCCGGCAGCACGTCTCTTTTATTTTTCTTTTTTTGTGGCTGATGTGTAATGCTGAGCCCGGCCGTGCGGTTAATAAAAGTCCTTCACGAGTTTGGAGCGTGAACTTTTGGAAACGCTTTTGGTTTCTTTTTTGCAGCAACGGTACGGATGCTGTGAATGCCGGTTAAAAAGTCCTGGCGAAACGGGGCTCCAGATGGCTGCGGGAGGCTGCCCGTGCCCCACAGCACGCATACAGCAGGCTGCTCCGTCCTGCCTGAGCCTCGCAGCGCTGCGGTGGTGGGCACTGCCTCGGGGAATCACTCACCCTGACACTCACTCACTCACTCCCCCAGTGGCTGAGGCTGGCAGGGCCTCTGGAGCCCACCAAGCCCAAGCCCTGTCCCAGCAGGGCCACCCAGCGCAGGCTGCCCAGGGCCACGTCCAGGTGGCTTTGGAAGATCTCCAAGGAGGAGACTCCGCAGCCTCTCCAGGCAGCCTGTGCCACTGCTCCGTCACCCACACAGAAAAGACGTGCTGCCTGGTGTTCAGAGGGAACCTCGGTGTCTCACCCCTCCAGCCATCAGTGCCTGGCTGGTGATCATTCATCCACTCAGACATTTCACTTAGCTCTATCAGATTTTTGCTCTGGTTCGGGCTTAGGGCTTTTAGTGGGGAGGCAGTTGATTTTGAAGGAGTTTATGTGTCTGTGTAGGTAGAAGTTCAGACATCTGCATCCCCAGCGCAGATGAAACCTCTCATCTTTCAGGTAACAGTAAAGCCCGAAACAAAACAGGTTAATGGTTCCGTGTTATGCTGGAAAGCTGTCAATAGGCACAAGAGTAGATGTTGAAAATACAGGTCTATACTAGCTCTACTTAATGCTAAAAAATTATTGATGTTGATTATATTTCTATTTGCCAATCAAGCATTTAATGAAGCGTTGACTTAATGTTGACTCAATTAGCTCTCGCCTCAAAAAACACATTCTTACCTTCACGTTCATCTAAAGAGTTTTGTTAGAAAGCTATTGAGCTGTGTTTTAGAAAACACAATTTAGAAAAATGATCCTTAGTGTGAATTCTTGCCTGCAAAGTACTTTTCCCATTCTGTCAGACTCTTCCTCTTACAGACTCTTCCTCTTACATGAAGGAGAGCTGTCCTTGAGACAAACACCAGTGTTTCACTCCTTGACATTGCCCCCCATGAGCAGCCCATCTGGCTAAAAATGTGTAAAAATCATGTAACAAAGTAATTGTTTGTAATACTTCGTGTATATGGAGAAACACTGTGATGTATTTCAGTTTGAGGGTTCCCTCTGCTCCCAGTCACCCAGGTCTTCCTGCAAGGCTTGGGCAGCATCTTACCTGCCCACCTCTCCCGTGGGTTGAGCACTGCAGCTGGGCTTTAGCTGCATCTGCCATTGCTGTTAGATTTATTGCTTCTATCTTCTTTAAAAAACATTGGCGCTTTTTTTTTGTTGTTGTTGTTTTGTTTTTTTTCAGTGCCAAAAAAGGCTTTGTGTTCCCTATGGTCTGTTATATATTAACAGGAGTTATGTTGTGGTGAGTGAGGTTGGGCTTGAGTGCCCAAAACAAAAATGCTGACTGTCAGACGTTTGCATCTCAATAAGGTTGTCTGTGCTGGAGAGCTTTCAGGGATAAAGTCCCAAATAGTTTAAGTATCACGCTGCATGTTTTCCTCAGCCACAACTGAGAACAGCTGAGTAGGTTTCAAACAGCACTTTTTTCTTACAAAAAAAAATAAAAAATCTCGAGGATATTCTTAAGGCCTAGAAATACAATTCATTTTATTAGCTACGTTTTAAGCTGGCATGATGACAAGGGTCCCTAAGCCTTAAAATATTGTTTTTTGTATATTCATTATTATGGAATGGGATTTTCCCCTAGAGGTAAAATTACCACCAGGATTTGGTAGGATGATCTTGATCTCCTTTGCCAGGCAAAAACCAAACACTTTGTCTTTTCAATTTAGATTTTTTTTTTTTTTAAAAGGCATTTATTCCTAAAATCTTGAGGAAATGAAGTGCCTTGTGGGATTGGGCACATTAAAGCTGATTCCTTTTTATAAGGTTGTGAATTGTTTCAGATTTTTGTGACTTCTGCTAGAAATCCAACCAACTATCCAACCTTAATGAGGTTCTGTGTACAAACTTATCTGAGCCATAATCTTTTATGAAGTGGCATTTTTCAAGGGCTGGAAAATAAAATACAGAACGCATTAATGTATTACCAGATGAGCAAATTAAGAAAAACATCCCAACTCCTGGCCAGTGTCTGTTTGCCTGCTGTCCCCAGGCTCCTGGTTAGTGTTTGTTGTACCCGCTGATGCCCATATGCTCTCCACAGAAACATTCCCTCTTTCTTCAGCATCTTTGGAAGCTCTCCCTAAAATCTTTGTGGAGACTGCTGCATTTCCCTGCCTGTCTTTTGAAAACATACTTTTCCTTCCATTCCCGACTTTACCCCAGCTGCGTCTGTCTTACCTGAGCATCCCCGAAGCTGCTGCTTGGTGCTCCTGCCTGGTGTGCCCTCCTCTCCTCCCTCTGAAGCTCATTCAGCCAACAGTTTTCATGCTGCTACTCCCAGCACAAACATCGTCAGTGCCCTGCTTGCTCTGCCTGCTCCATCACTCTTGCAAAATTTATTCAGCTCTCTCCAGCGCAGTCCCATTAAACCTCCCCTCTCTGCTGCTTTGCGTTTCACCTGCTGGATAATCCTCACCCACACCACTTTGTACCCCAGATAACCTATCTATTTCAGTGAAATCTTACTGCTATCTGTTCACAGAAATACCTGCTTCTTTTTTTATCCATAGAATTTCAAAAGCCTTCTCTTTAAACCTTTCCCATTAAATGACTTACTGTAACTCCTCTCTATCTTTCTGTAAAATCCCCACCTGTGCTGCATGAAATCTCTCAAGTCAAATCTTCATGTAAAAGTAAAATGATCCTATGACATAGCACTGCTGTCCTTCTTGACTCTTCCTTTTAACCTTTCCTTGCTAATGCTTTCCCAGCCAATGCCCTGGCAATGCCTGCTTTCCTGCCTCAGGTCACTCACGCTGCCACAGACCACGTCCCTAGGATGAGGCAAGATATGGTGAAGTACACTTTACCAGGACGTGTCTCCCTCCTTGCACTCTCCTGCTATTCCCAGTTATATCTCTAAAAGAGGATTGTATCTCTGTCAGAAACAGTCAAAAGAGTTTAAAAACTTTGGTGGTGTTCCACAGCCTTGACTGCTGGTCTCTTCCGCCTGCTTCAGAGGATTAATTTGTGGTGGTGAAGAAGCGAAGCTGTGAAGGATAACACGGAGATACTTTCCGTTTGACTTCAGGACAGCAAAGCGATTGCATATTTTGTCTCTAGCAAATTTTCTTTTTTAGGCATGTAGAGAGACGTTTATTTCTGTTTACACCCGTACTGTTTGCTTTTCAAATTCTCTCTTAACCTTTGGTTATTCTCATCTTACCTACCAGCTTCTCTTATCACTTGGTCTTGGTTGGTTTTGCATTTTTGTCTAAATGTGGATAAGCTGCTATCCCTTGCAATGTAATACAACTTTCTGCTACTTCTGAGCTGTACACGCTATCTAAATATGAGAGGCTTAGCCTATCAGCATGGATTTTTATTTCCTAAACTTTTCTTCCAGGTTTTAATTAAATTATTCTTCCCCTCCTTCATCCTCCCCCCCTTCACTGGAGCTTACTGCTGCAGTGCTAAACTTCTGGCAAGGTTTTCTGCTGTTAGGTTCTGACAGTTAGTGATATTCTAGTCCCTGTGGTCAATGGTTTAGCTATATTACTTTGTTCTGGCTTTTGTCTGGAAACTCGTACGAATCTGACATTCCCTCTTTCACTGAAATATCAACTGTGTACTATTTGTCATGTTACTGAATTAGATGCCTAAAACATATATATTTTTTAAATACTAGGTCCCAATTTGAAATCTTGCATTCAATGATAACAAAGTTTTGTAAAATATTTGGATAATATTTGGATATGTAAAATGATGGATTTATCAGCAGCTATTAGCATTCAGGATCAGTCCTAGGAGCCATACCTTCTAGTGTGGTTTCTGTACGTGGCTTTACCATTCTTGAACTCTGCTATCATTTGACCATAAATACCTGAATAGTTTCTTCAAACCATGTAGTACCAGCTCTTGCAGCAAAGTTCATTCATTGAACTGGTGGAGGCATGCAGTGTGGAAAGAAAAACAAAAACTTACAGAAGGAAGTTAATGTGATTTTTGAAGTATTTCATTTTACAGTATGAGAAACTCATGCAGAGATTGCCATCTGTCTCCAGTTTGCAGTTGTTGGATAGGAACGAGGGTAGAGATGACTTCAAAGGCTTGATAAGAACATTTTCTGCCACAGTTCACAATCACTGCTTCTCGCGTTCTGCTCTGTATGCTTTTCCTGCCTTACAGGAAAAAAAGACCTATGGCTCTGTTTATCCTGCTGCTCCTTTCTATTTGTGATGAAGTTCAGTCAGCATAGCTTTGAAATAGTTTATTGAGCAACCACGCTACCTCTTTTTCACTGTCGAAATAGGTACTCTCTAGGGCCAGATCTGAATGGTGAACTGAGTGCATATGCCCTAGAGCAACTTGCTGAGGAGTGGGATGGAAAACAGACATGGAGTCAGAATGTTACACTGTGAGGTATAAGGTGGAGGAAAACCAAAGCTGACAAATCTTACAGAGTCTGGGGAAGAAGGGGGAAAAGGGTGAATGCCATTAGGCAGGCTAGGAATATGCTTTGGGACCAGTTTGCAAAAGGCATGGAAAA